CTCATAGTGACCCTATAGGACAGAGTAGAACTGCCCCATAGGGTTTCCAAGGAGTGGCTGGTGGATTCAAACTGCCAACCTTTTGGTTAGTAGCCGAGCTGTTAACCACTGTGCAACCAGGGCTCCACCAAAAGGAAAGCTTGTTATAAAACTGAACTGAGAAGCTGTGTGATAGTAGGTGGGGCTGGTCACTCCTCAAATTTTGTGGGAATGTCTACATTCAAACACATGTATTCGTTCACAGAAATAAGAAACCTAACTATATGCTTCCTTAATTATAAATCATTATGGGAACAGACAGATGCCACTGGGAAATCAAGAGTCTAGATTTAGTGAAGTGTCTAAGACTTTCAAATCCCACTCAAGAGGGCTGACAGTGATTCTTGATGATCAACAGACATGATCAATGTTTGATGATCAATGTCTGATAATCAAAACATCATTCTCTTTCCTGTATATCCACAAAATATTCTTGCTGAAAAAAGACACTGTTTTTATCCAAATAACAAATTAGTTATCAAGGCAATTTCTCACATGGTAAGATATTCATTACTGTCAACTGGATGGACAAATGGATGAAGTGTCATAACACACTTGAATCCTCATCAGGAAAGACCTACACCCATAACTCTATTATTAGTAAGGTGGGATTCAGTGAGTATCACCCAATGAAGATTTCCTATAGTGAACCAATGAAGAAAGCTATTTGAGTCAATGATGCTACGTGAACCATGTTATTTTGCTATACTTCTACGCAGAACTGACATTTTTAGCTAAAGATACTTCTAGAAATACATTTTTTAAAAAACCTTTGACTCTGTACTTCACTCTAGGTAAAATGGAAATTAGGCAAGGAGAGGGCAGAGTTCATGACCCCTGGTTCAGATCATTCTAAAAACACAGCAAGACAGCCATGGAGCCAACGTGTCCCACTGTGGGGCTCATCACCATTGTTCCTAATGGAGGTGAACAACGTCCTTGATCAACGCTTATATTTTATGTATGAAACAGAAAGACGAATTCATATGATAAACATAAGAGGAAAGAGGATCTGAAGGACAGTTACAGTTGGGAGGCAGGCAGACTAAAAACTCCCTAGGAAAGGCCTATCAACGTGGCATTAAAAAAAAGATGAAGAGAGAAAGGAGGGAGGAAAGAATAATGGGAAGGAGTGACTTTGTAGTTCTGATCCTCTCCTCTTAGAAAGGTCCAGCTGGTTATTGCCACTTAAAGCCAAACGATAAGATTTACTCCATTTAATCAAAGAGAAATGTCTGCTAATTAAAGAAAGTTGGAATGGCTATCATTTGTAACCTAAAGTTTTGTTTTCTTAATGAGAATTTATCAAGGTACACATTAATTATTAGGTCTGTAAAATATTTGGAGCTATTTAAACACACTCAAATTCCCTCTAGGAAAATTAGCAATCGTTTGAAACCCGGTCATTACTGGTCATTAGGCATTAGGGTAATTAGTCAGATGGAGGAAGTAAAGTTAATCAAAAGATGACCGGTTCTCAAAGAGGAGCTGATAGAAGAGCATTGATGTCTACTAAGTTACCCAGGAGATTTAAAAACGAACATTAGCAGATTCAACCTGGAGTTTCTAACCATTTCAATGTCTGCTTTATTGCAAACTAAAAATTTGGAAGAACTTTTGCCTGTATGTTTATTGTGTTTTCTAAGTGACAGTAATACAAAGAGTTAAAATTAAGTGAGTACCTAGTCTGTGCCAAGGACTCCACTGAATGCCTTATGCATGTGATTTCATCAACCCTCAGGGCAGCTTTATGAGATAAATGCTGACTGTCATTAGCCCCAAATGATGGAGGAAACTGAGGCCCAAAAGGAAATGTAATTTGCCCCAATTTATACAGCCCCAAAGCAGCTCAGCCAGAATCAGAACCTGTGAAGTCTATGTGACCTTTTTATTTTCTGTGCCATCAGAACAAAATTTTGAAGTCTCTTCCTCAAATGCATCAGACCCTGATACCACAACGGGAAAATGAAGTGTTGAATAAAAAAAAAAAACAAAAACACTCACCTCTGGATTTTCTTCTTTTACTCTTCGTGACTGTAAAACAATTACGTGGCCATAAGTATGCATATATGCACACCCCAAAATAAATAAATAAAATTACACTGGTTAGCTCATCATCATCATCAATGTTTTTCACCTTTTCTTGAGAAAAAGCTGCTTTTCCTTCTTCACTCTTTTCATCCATCTCGTCGTCACTCCACTCCCAGTCACCGTCTTCAGTTTTATGAAGGTGACCGCTTGACCCGGGAACTCTTCTTACCTGAATTAAACAAACCCAGACAAGTCATCACTAGCCGAATGTGAACAGTGTTCCCCTGGCACTGCCACTTGGGTTATAGAGCATACACACTACCCTGAAAATAACCTATGAGGTTATGAATTCAGGGATAACTAGCAGTTAATACCCAGAAAGACTACAGAGACTCCAGACTCCCACATGCACCTTCTTTCCAAAAATATCATGTTCTTGAAATGCATGACTACACATGTAGAACAAGATATTTTGGAAGAACACCATATACATAAGTCAAGCTTGTCTTTCACTTTCAATTCAACTAACACCTTGTTAATCACTACACAGAAAGGCCACATGGTCTGCTTCAAAATTGCCTCAGGAAATGCATGCAAGCGACAGACTGCGGACTGAACAAAGGCAGGGGAACCAGGCAGCCTAATGAAGCATACTAGACTAGGGGTATAAGCAATCTAAAACCTACATCAAAAAAGCAAATACCCTTCTGTTGCCACCTTGCTCTTTTTCAGAACCTGACATCATGCTTGTTTTCCCGGGATTCTGCTCAACCTACTTGAGCAAAACAAAACAGCATCAGACTATTCTTAACACACCTTGAAGCATTTATGAGACTCGTGAGATTGCTAGGAGCACAGCCTGATAATCAGCAGCCATGCCAGAGTTTAGATCATAATCATTCTTTCTCAATTATTTCAAATTTTTGAACTAGGGTAGAGATGCAATCTATAGAGGGTGCTTTCCAAATGTCTCTGTGGCTGAAAAAAGCAAAACTTTTAAAAGCACTGGATGACTGAGAACGAGCCTCTGACCAAAGTAATTTGCCTTAAAAAAACATACTGAGATGTAATCAAGCAAAGCACTGCAGCAGATGAACAGGATGTGATCATAACAGCCAGTGATTCAATGATTCAGAGAAACTTCCAGCAGAAAGGGATCTTCAAGATGATCTTATTTTACTGATGAGGAGATGAAGGTCCAAAAAGTGACCCAAGGACACACAGGGCAAAATCAAGGCCAAAAACAAAGTCTTTGGACTCACAATCAAATGTGAATCTCCATTATGCCACTGAATAATTGTGAAAACGAATTGTCTAAAAGTGTCCTGTGAAGACTTTGAAAGACCATGATGTGAAGAGAAACTATTTTCTGCACTAAAGAATAATTAATTATAACATAGGCACTTCATTAATCTCAAAGGAAATACCACAGGATTTAAATTTAAAGTAAGCATGCATACATGTCAGATCAATGTGAAGTCATAAACAACGCAGGCCCAGGGCTGGGTTTGGTTTGAGGGCGTGTGTTACCAGGTGGAACCTGTAAAAGTAGGTCTGACCTCTCCGTCTAGAGGATTTGAGCTCAGATGCTACTGCGACAAGGAAAGTTAAAAGTAAGAAGTTCTTACTCATAATTGCAAATGTTACGTTCATTTAAAAAAAAAAAATGCTTTTTACTCCACTTCAAACAATATTCTTTTTAATTAATTCACCTTTGAAAGATTTATTACTTAGTAAAACATCTCTGTGCTTGGTATATTTTTTCCACTTGCATTTTGAGTCACTGTAAAGACCTATCCTAATGACAGTGATTTCAGTGGTGCTTATAGATGCTGGCAAGGAGGGTAGAAGGAATGCTGAAATGGACTTCAGAATTTTCAGAACAGATTGCTCATTTTAAAGCTATAAAGAAATGGCTAACGGAAGAGAAAATAAGTTTATGTTGACATATACAATAAAATTAATTATTTTCTGAGCAACGCTAATCATGGTGATGGCATCAGAGACAAGAATGTTAATGACTACACGTAAAGGAAATAATCTAAAGCTACAATTTTTACAAAACATAGTATTAACTAAGAAGTGAGAAAAGTAAAATTATATATCAGAAGCACAATGAAACTCTACCTTCACTGAAACTGCAGAAACCAAATATAGTAGATGAATCAGGATTCTTCAAGTCTCAGCCAGGGGATTACACTGAGGAAATCTTCTTTTGAAAAAACAGTTCCGCTTCCCACCCTAAAATTTAGTTTATGCTCCCTTTTGTCCTCTCTCATTGTATGTTTACAAGATCTGTCAATTTTGTTTCCACAAGCAGAATCCAAGTACAGAAAATAAAATGGCCATCTTCTTCCATTTCTATTTTATTTTAGAACCCTGGCTGTTTCCCTCTTAGTTTTATTTGCTGGCATAGAAAAAGATAAAACAAAACGTCTAGGATCACAGCCCCAGATACTGAAAGAAATGGTGGATGAACCTTTAAGCAATAAATATTCGTTGAACAAATAAGTGTATAAATGTTGAAGAAATTAAGACAAAAAACACTGAAAAATCTATGTGGGCTAAAATAGCAGTATAAGAGTAGCAAGAATATGAATAAAAACCCATCTTTGGGAATGTCCTCTCAGTTTACTCCTAGGAAGAAAAACCTGCAGCATAATTTGAAACCCAGGTTTCATGGTGTAACTGTGTGACACTGACCTCTAGGAAAGAGATGAGAAACCAAGTTTTCAAAGTGACATCTTCGCAGGAAGTTGTAGGGATGATGGGAAACAACTTTTACCTTTTAGAGCCAAGAGAACTAGGTTTCACATAGTTTAGGAGTCTTCCTACCTGGTAACTGAAGCTTTGTAAAATGGAAACTTTATAGATATAGATACTGATATGTAGATATACAGATATATAGGAAGAGGCAGAGATAGAGATATATAGATATGTATATAGATATATGTATGTATACATACATATGTATATGTATGTGTGTGTATATATACATAAACCTTTTTATTCCCCCTCATCTCCCACAATGATGAAAATGGAGGTTATTCACCCTTAGAACTCTGACTGCATTACTGTTACACTGTTCTTGCTTAATTAAATGATTTGTCAACTTGGGAAAGCCAAACAAACAAATTAAAAAACCAAACCCAATGCCATCAAGTCGATTCTGACTCATGGCGACCCATATGTTACAGAGTAGAACTGTGCTCCACAGAGTTTTCTTGGCTGTAATCTTTATGAAAGCAGATCACCAGGGCTTTCTTCCGTGCCTCGGGTGGGTTCAAACCGTCAACTTTTAGGTTAGTAGTCGGGCGCAAAGGTGGTGAAATAAATTTTATTCTCTATTTTCTCTGTTGCGAGTTTAAGAAAAATTCTTCTCAGACAAATGAATTTAATTTAAGTGATCCTTAGAGATATTCATAATCCCACAGACTCCTCAGGTCATAACAGGCAATGGTGAGGTCAGAAACAGTGTTACATACAGTAACACTTATTCCCAAGACTGGGAATAAAATACAACAGAGCAGTTTTATTAAACCACACACCTGAAAAGGAAAGCGATATTTTTTTCCCTTTCTCTAAACTGCACCTTCATGCAAATCCATTAAAGAAATTAATCAAAGTTTGGATTCCTACAAGAAAAGAAGTCAGACAACAGACACAGCAACAGTGTCGTTCACCAGTCCGTTTTGGTGGCCTCGGGGTGAGAAGACAGAGACAGAGAATGACAGCAGTGAGGGTAACTATGACTAGGGCAGTGTTACAGATTGAACCATGTCCCCAAAAAAGATATGTTAACGTCCTAACCCCCAGTACCCATAAATGTGACCTCATTTGGAAATAGCACCTTTACAGATGTAATTAGCTAACATGAAGTCATAGTGGAGAAGGGTAGGCCCTACTCCAATATGACGGGTGTCCTCATAAAAACAGGAGAAGAGACACAGACACAGAGGGAAGGTGGCCATGTGAAGACAGAGGCGGAAATTGGAGTTATAATGCCACAAGCCAAGAAACGCCTGAAACCACCAGAAGCTAGAAGAAGCAAGAACGTATTCCTCCCCTAGAGCCTTCATAAAGAGCATGGCTTTACCTACACCTTAATTTCAGCCTTGTAGCCTCCAGAACTGTGAGAGAATAAATTTCTGCTATAGTAAAAGCCACCCATTTTGTGGTAATTTGTTACAGAAGCCCCAGGAAACTAATATACAAGCAAACTAATTCTTTCCAGTGCATCCCTCTGAACTGCAGTTTCCTATAAATACTGGGGTTGACAATCTCTGTACAACATCTTAAAAGGTGCCACCTGGCCCCTGACATCAGAACACACAAGAAGGATAAAAAGAGAGTATGAGAGAGCCTTTACACAAGAAGCATAAAAAGAGAGTATGAGAGAGCCAAGGCGTCTCTGGCTGGTGCAAATGGTAAGTGCTCCACTACTAGCCAGAAGGCTGGCAGTTCAAACCCACCCAAAGGCGTCTCAAAAGACAAGCCTGGTGATCTGCTTCTGAAAGGACACAGCCTTGAAAACCCGATGGAGCTGTTCTACTCTGCACATACAGAGTCAGCATAAGATGGAACTGACTTGCTGGCAACCAACATCAACAACATAAGAGAGACATAAGATGGACTTTCTACATAGATGTTAATTAAATATGTCAGAAATTGAATTGTGTGTCCCTGACAAAGTCCTGAAAAAAAGCTGCATGTGACTCAAAGAAACACTGACCAAAATTTAGTAGAATTTGCCTAATACTGCATGCCCTTCCCTCCTGCCCAAGGCACCTGCCAGCTTCTTCTAGTGCCACATCAACTTCTTCCTGGACTTGGGATTCCACACTCTCCTGGAACGGTTTTCCCCACCTCACGGGGGATCGCTGTGTTCTGCCTCTCCTCCACTTGCTAATCACACCGCCTGGGTGAATGCAGCCTAAGCCTGGGTGACCCATGGAGCCCCCCACCCTGTGTCTGTTCACCAAGGATGTACTGCACACAACAGAAAGCAACATACAGTAAAATTTCTGTTATCAGACATTTTACTGACGAGAACTATAAAAAATGTTTCTAATTAATTGCTATTTATAATGCCCTTGAGGCGCTGCCAAGGAAAAAAAGGTATTCTGAATCAACAAAAAATAACAAATACAATTAGATTCAGTTAAGGTTTCAGCAATAAATGTTTCACTGTCCCCATATCTTATACCCTGACCTTTCCCCCTCGGACTA